AATAATTCAGTTTTTATCCGAGCAAGCCGTGCAAAACTTTGCAAAGATTGCCGCTTTCTCACAATAATAAAGAGCTTAATGTGAAGAGAGGAAGGGGCGGAAGGAGCTAACCGCAGCAGGGTGCAACAGGGAGCAACAGGGGGGCAACGGCAACAGGATATACAGGATACTCACCTCAAAACAGCACCACCGATGCTAGTGATGCTTGGCGTGTACGGTACCGCTGTACTCCTACTTGCTTCCTGCTGGCCAGTCGATCTGTTCACCTGCCTTACTTCGCTCGAGGTCGTGAATGAGACTCTCTGGAGAACCGCCTGCTGATCCGGGATGTATGAAACAGCGGTGACCGCGCTGTCGGGACTCGCTGGAGGCGATGACGCCCATGAGGGCGGGGAACTCAACGCCTGATCGCCCGACAGGGTCGCCGAGGAACCCACGGCACTGTCACTTCCGTGTCTTCCTCCTGAAAGCGGAAACGTTAGGTTGAAATAACAGAAACTTTGTTTTTTTAATTTATTATTTTACGACGAGATATAATTTTATTGTGTTTGTGTTTTGTAAAATTGACTTAAAATTAAATTAATTATTGAAATAACACGAATCAATGTCACATATAAATTATTCTTTAGGGGGCCAATTTAATTAAAAACTGATGCCTGCATTTGATAATTTATATTGTTCTTGATATCTATATTGTCTCGTTTTTTTTTCATACATCTACTGAATTTCATATATTTTGATTTTACAATAATATCAAATGATATGCAACACGAACCTTCGCTGCAACCGGAAATGGACCTCTGCCTCTGTCGTCTCGGAGGAGCGCTTGGTTGCTTTGGTGTTTCCTCGATATAAGGAATGTCCGGGTCGTCGAGGTTCAAGGTGAACGCGTCGGACATGGGTATGGTGAGACTGGCGGTAATCACTATCGGCGAAGATCTTCGCCGAAGATCGGACGGATCCTCACTCGATCCGCTATCGACACTGTTGCTCCTGCCCTCCTCCTTCCTTCGACTTCCTGGTCTTTTTGGTCGCCGATGCTTTGGTCCAATATCACCGCCGACACCAGCGGTTTGATGTAAACACTGTTCTCTCGTCCACATCTGAAATAAAAGAAACGTTCTCGTTCCAGTAGACTTGACACGTAATACATTAACAACTATTAAAATAATGTTTAAACTAATAATAATGATAATTTAACTTTTAAATAATGCCTTGATTTTCCATTGACAATAAATATTAATTAAAAGTTATATTTTATTATAATTGTATCAGTTATGCTAATATATGCTAAATCCAATAAATGTTATATGAGTTTTTGATTTCAGAATATTCAATTTTTTTTATTCTAAGTATTTTAGTTTTTAGTTAATAAATATAAAACCATGCATATACGTGTAAAAAATATAGTATAGTTTTAAAATATATATATTATATGTACCTACAACTTGATACATGATTGAAGCGTCTGAAGTATGAATGGTTTAGAGTTAGATGTAGTTTTATTTATTTAAAGCGGATTTTGGCGCTCGCGCATGAGAAAGAGAGAGAGAGAGAGAGAGGTGGTAAACTTAGAATTAGGTGCTATTCTTTATCTTTTTCTAGTTACACTCTTTTAACAACATGCTTCTCAATATAGTCTTTAGTGACGCTCATAAAATCTTTTTCAAAATCTCTTATTTTTCCAGCGAATTAATTCCGAATATTACAATGTCAGGTAAACAGATAACAAATATGGGAATTTATAGCACCTTTTTCGTCGTCGTTGTCGCAGTGGTCGTCGACATAGTCAACGTCTCTTCTACCGAGAACGTCTCTGCCTCGCTACAGGGGTCTATTTCATCTCCGCATTGCCTGAAAAAGCACGTATGGAATTTTACTTAAACTTTTTGTCTTTACGATTCGTAAGGCCGCAAATATACGAAGAATATCATTATCTCATAACCCTGACAGTGTTGATCGATCGTTGCTCATAGAAGAGACAGTTTCTTGACTCAAAATTTTCACAACAAAAATTCACGACTCAAAAAGTGTTTTTATCAAAAATATACCAATAAAACATTTTATGGATACAGAACGTGCAGATTAATAGATAATTGTTCGCTTACTTGGCAATATTCTTAGCTTCAGAACTATAAAATACATCAGTATATGACCTTTGACAACTTAAATGTATTTTGTAAAATATTATCCAGATATTATTTAACTACAATAATTCAATATATAAAACAATTCAAGTGTGGACGTGCTTATCATGACGATTAATTGTAAATTAATTGTTCAAGCTGAAAAAAATGATGATAAACGAATAAATGTGATACTCACTCTTCGATGCGACGAGACAGGGCGATATCCAACTCCGCCGGATGAGTATCCATCATGTGCTGGTATACTTCATCCAATAGCGCCGCTGGTACCGTGAACAATGTCGATGTGTGTTCCAGAAGTGCTCGCATCACGTTTATCACATCTATTCTCTCTTCGGCCCTCTCCGTTGAAACCTCCGATCTCACTTGACCGGGCTTCACGCAATGCAGGATATTTGGCGCAAAAACCTGAAACGTGCGTGATCGAGCGTTTTTAATTTGTACATCACCCAACCTGACATATCGATTCCTAATGTAATTTGATTTTTTCGTAATGATCATTGATGGTAGCCAAGAACACATATCAGCTCAAATTAATTAATCGCTCGAATTAATTAATCACACATTTCGGTACAAATGTTCGTCACAATGCAATGACGTAAATACTATTAACATTTGCGGAATCTTATATAATATAATAATTATAGAAACAGAATCGAAGTTTATTCTTGTTAAGAATTTTCTTGGTCAAAGTTAACTCGATTGTGCTCTTAACAGCATTGATTAAGGAAAGTGAATTCGAAATGTGAGAACTCTCATCGTCACCGTTTAAAATTCCGTTGCTGTACTTATATTTCGACTGATAAAGAATTTTTATTACGTATTTTAATTGGGAAGTGGGGAGGGGAAGAGGAGAGAAGAGGGGGAAAGAGAGAGAAATTATCGAAGCGTAACGCGCAGTCCAAAAAACGGAACAAAATATATATTGAAAAGAAATCAAAGTTGAAAAATGCCACGCGGTACTGACAGTCGCGAGATTTGTCGTGTCCATTTTATTCCCTGGGATCCACTCTCCTGTCTCATTCTTTTGGTCCTCACTATTCGCTGCAACGACGCTCAAAAAGTTGAGAAGTGCCCAGAGAGTTTCGCGATTGGGTGTGGGTAGAAGTTGAATAAGATGCTGCAAAGCTTCTTGCTGTAGTCGCCTGTTTCTGATTTCTGGAAAATATTTTAATAGCTTGTCACGCTTCCGCCAAACACAAGTTGGAAGATTAAAAATTCAAATTGGAATTGCAAAGTAGAAAAAAATTGCAGGAAATAATCGACATCTTAGCACGCAAGCAAATTTTGAATCGGCAATGCAAAGTTTACGCGTACAGCGTACACTGTCGGGATTGGATTACGAAAAACAAGCTAGAAAAAAACGTCAGCTTATGTCAGATTAAAATCTGACTTTTGCTTACTTTGAGTGTGCACGAAGGCTTGATATAGATTCCTGCAAAGTAAGGGATCTGGCAGATCACGGAAATATTCCTTCAAGAGGGTAGCTACATCATGGGGACATTGATCGGGACCTATCTTCGTCTCCCGACCGCAATCAAAATCTTCTCTTAACTGGAATAATTATGGAAATGTCACGTTTAAAATTAGCACAAAAGATACACAGATATACCTTTCAGAAGAAATTTGCTAAGTGGTGACTTGAAAATGTAATAGATCTAATATAATCATTAGAGTTATTTAAAATAAAAATTGATGTATTAATTATATCGTCATATAATTTATATTTTATATCGTCGGGGTAATCGATTCTCCGTTTGTGATGCCTAAATATTTAATTTCCATTGCTAATTGTAATGGCATTAAAAAGACATTAAGAGAAAATCCGATATTGCCGATTATTTCTAAAAGAAAATATATAATATCTGAAAGAATTGCCAATTTCCAATTTAAGCTCACATTAACCCAATAACAGTGATTGAGAGCGCACATCGAACACATTTAATTCTTGTTAATGAAAATGTTGAGTTTTTACACATGTACTCGTATGTAAATTTATACCTGTACCCGTACTTTTCCCATTTTTTTTTAAAGAAAAATATAATAGTAAAAATTATTATACCTAAAACTAAAAGAACCACCCTACAAACTGATCGCACATTGTATTGTATGAATAAACTTAATTGTCTTGAAATATTTTTCGCGTTAAGAAAAATCGTGTCATACAGTTATTGCTAATATTCTTTCCGACATGAGTATTGAGGTAATTAAATACGAAAATTTCTCTTGTCATTATTAAAGGAAAACATCGCACATACCTGCCTCACCCTTTTTTTCGAGGGTGACACGCGAAACACACCTAGCGTCCGGAGACCAGTGACCTCGAGGTGTCTAATGCACTGCCTCACGATACCTGGTACCATGTCCCATTCACTGGCAGAGCATCCTCCGCCACTGTCACTCAACTCGAGCACTCCGGAATCGCTTCCTGTAAGGGCACCACCTTTCGACGACAGGGACTCGCAGGAACCTTCCTGCGACCGAAGATCGAAATAAAAGAAAATGTCATTTGTATAATATAAGAGAGAACATAAATACACAGGAAATAAAAGGTATAAGAAAGAAGAAGAAAGATATACACAAGAACAGAAATTAGAGATCCGCAAATATACTGTTGCATGGCTTTTTTCAATATACATATATTGTAAAAGACCTAAATATGTGTCTCCGATGTTTGAATGTACATGTATAATTTATTTTCAAAATAGACTACGTATCAAATTTAAAACAAAAGGACAGCCTTGTATTGTTGAATGCTCATGATCTATAAAATTAAACGTTCAATCTTATGTACAGGAACGTAAGAGATATTGTCTCCTCACATTTAATGACACGCAAATTTATTTACACAAACGACACGCTATAGCATATATAAAAAAAAGCACAATCGGTAATTATTGGTTTTAGTGGACGGATCGCTACCGTCGCTACCGTTTGATGGGAATGGTAAAATAAAATTCCTCGTAAAATTAAGAGTTCCTAATTAATCTGCGGTTAAAATTAGCAATCCCGTTCTCTTTCTATTTGCGTCTCTGATCTATGATGTCACCTCGAACGCGGGAGACACACGTGACGTCGGCACGAGAATTCTATGTCGTCCTTCTCGTGTCACATATAGACGATCGATCAACCGTGTTAGGCGTGGTCTGACGCAAAGATGCCAAGAAAAACGATGGTATAGAGATAGATAAATTAAATTTTTGGCGATATCTTTTACATTTAAAATATTTCAATTTTTGCCAAATTTTTTCACATTTTCTAAGTATAAGGGACACTTAACTTAATTCCGATTTAAATAACTTTTGTTATTAAATTTTTTCTTTTTTATAAAAACCGCTTTTATCAAATTTTACGAATATGACCAAACGATAAATATAATGTTTATGCCGCTTTGCATAACGTCTTATGTATTAAATAAAACATCGTTATTAAATCACAATTTTTTTGCATAATAAAAATTAGTTATAAAAACTTTAGTGTTGCTGACATTATGAAACTGATTTATTTTTCTTCTCACTGTAGATTAATCGGTTAATATCTTTAATCGGATTAACTGAAAGTAACGCACGTGTGCGAAGGCGGTAGAGATATATTACAGATATAAAATATATTGGTGCTATTTTTGCCGATGAAGCATAGATATTTCGAGTCCCGTAAACAGCTAATTTAGTTTTTGGTTGTAAAAATTTCAAGTACAAGCGATACATCAATTTCTGGTTACGTTGCGCACTGGTTCATTACCATGATCAATTATCTTGACTAATTCGATATAAAATAATATTTTATTTCCGTATATTTATACTTCTCTCTCTCTCTTTCTATTTGCGTTTCTAAAAAAAATATTACTTAACACCGCTTAACAAAAAAATTGACGAACATAATAATTAATGCCATCTCAAAGTACGGGCTACTGTGTGCGTGTGTGTATGTGTGTGTAAAGTTAAAACTTATATAAGTTATATTTAATTTCCAAATTACGCGTGTGAGTGTAAAATAGGAAAATTTTAGCTTCCACATATAAATATTTTTTTAAATCAAAATTTATTAATATTTTTAATTATCGAAATTAATTATCGTCATGTTAGAATAGCATAAGTCCGATGACGAGTCTTAAGAGCAAGACGAAACTTATGATAAGTGCATATACGTAGTTGTCGATTAGATGTATCTGTCGAAAAATAACCACTTGCAAGCTCGACATCTGGCCCGTGTCGTAAATAGTCATCGATAAACCGCTTACCTCGGCTGCGACGATGATGTAACGAGAATGACGTCGTTAGCAATGACGTCGCCGAGAAAAACGTCGCGCATCGATGTTTCGATGTACTAGCAATTTTGGGCGTTATTCAAATTAATTTTTATATTCTAGTTTTAATACTTGGTTACATAAAATCGTACATAAGATTGCCTTTCATTTTTCTAAAGAAACGTTGTAGATGCATTTCTTGTGAGTCGTCTGTTTGTTCATGTTTATTACAAGAGCTAAGAATTGTATAAATTGTATATGGTTTGTGTGTGTATATATATATATATGATACTGTTTTACGTCTCTATATTTGTCCGTCGCTCGCGGCGCATCTTTAATGGTCGGTCGATCAGTTGCCAAGCTTTACCACTCGAAAGAAACTTTCGTAAGTAATACAGGTCAACGACTTTAACAACGATGGAAGTAGATACATAATCGCGACGTATAGTTGCGAATACTCATATTTCTCTCTCTCTCTCTCTCTCTCTCTCTCTCTCTCTCTCTCTCTCTCTCTCTCTCGTCGAACATTTCTACAATAATTTACACAATATATTTAACAATACAATTCTTTCACATTGTAGTAAAAGTTATTGGGTAATACCCAATAACAATAGAACAAAAATACTAGTAAAAAGTATTATCCAACTAATATCAGTTCATTAACTGATTTATTTTAAAACTTAAAGAAATAATCATGATGATTATATATTATAGTTGCTTGTATAAGAAGAATTTTTTTCAAAGAAGAAAAAAAGAAAGAAAACTTATCCTGAGTCGTTTTCTAATAATTTCTTACCTCTTCCGTTTTCGCTGTCACAGTTGTTGGTGTTTCTATAAGGCTAGAGAAACTGGCCCTACTACCGTGCCGACTACTTCTGCTTAAGCAACCAACATCGGTGACCTCTCCAGCGGCGATTCTAGCGATCCTATCGTTCTCTATGCACTGCGATAGCGGTATACCAAACACTAGACCACCCGCGACGTCTGCAAACAACAAAGTAGATAAAAATTTTAGGAATTTGTATAATTTCGACTTGAGACTTTCTAGTTTAATATAGGTACATAATACCTATAATAAGTAAACTCTGCGTTTTCCGTTAAAGAATGTTATATCGTCAATATTTAACAACATTGAATATGACTATTATAGATGTGATATTCGGATTCTTATATCGAATATCTTAAATTTCTGTTTGAATTAGTATACACTAATTTTGATATGAACATAGTGATGACAAAGATTTTATTTCTTTTTCTCAACAAGTCAAAAGCTTATCCCTAAGCAAGAGTAACCCCAACTTTTTATTATATATTAGAAAAAGAATTATAAGATTAGGATATTTAATTAATTTTAACTTTAATTTTAATTTTAATTTTAATTTTAATATATTTTTTAACCATAGGAGATTTCTATTTTATTAAAAATTATATATACATATATTTATTGTTTTATTAATGATTTCAGATTAATTTTAACATAAACATACACAGTAATTTTACATTTTAATTTTACCATTGCTATTATTATCCAGACTGTCTGCATTAATACCGCTAATTCAATACAGCTTGAGATACTTTAACGACTCGATTCCTGACACTAGAAGAAGCAGAGTCTGTGCCTAGAAATGACGTGTACAACGTGACAGTAATTACTAATTAGCATCAACGTTTCACCTACCAGGTATTGCGCGCATCCTTTCAGATCGCCGCCAAAAACGTATTCTACAAGACGCAAAGTTGCGATCTGAAGACAGACGGGGATTCCGTAATCTGCCCACGTCTGCCTCGCTCATCGATCGTGCCATGGTATAAAAGTCAAGTAATTCAAAGCACATTTGTAACGAGTCCCCCCCTTCTCGCCCCCGTTGAGGATCACGCGCACGATCATCTACGTTGGTATGTTTTCGATTATATTATAATATCAAAAACGAAGAAAATTTCACCAACTATTCTAGCAATTCGCATCCACGTAAAAGACTCCTTTATCAAAATGTGTTTATCAAAATCGTCAATTCGTTGCCAATTCGATAAGGCACACTGATCACTTTTCATACGAGTGATACTCAATAACAGTATCTTTCTAACATTTCGATTTATTTTCCTAGCTACTTGCTCGTAATCATTCTACGTTTTCATATGATATTTTAAACTTGTAATATTTGCATTGGATTTTACTTATGCGGTATATACTACTTCCTTTGTTATTTAATCAATTAATTAATTACTCTAAATTACTTGATATTACTTGTGATTTAATACGTTAATTTAAGTCAGAAAACCGACAGGTAACGAATCGTATACATATACTGCAGGTCCCTATACTGGTCCGATTATAGACCGCGATCTGGGCCATTTCGGCTTTTCTCACTTCAAAACTTAACAAAACGTGCCTTTCGAATACGCGGAACACGAGGCACTTTACGCTTACTACAATGTGCGAAGAGAACGAGCCTCTCTTCTTGGAAGTGTCGAAACGATCGGCATCGATCGTCAACACTTTGCCACCCCCGTACGATAGGTCCGGCGATGTTGGGTACGTATTTAGACGCGCGGAGTGCGCGAGCATATGGGCATTGAGTGTATAAATATCCTCGGTGTATCTTGTTGCACACACACGTTTAAGTAATTGACATTTCCTGATAGGTATATTTATATGTAGATGCAACTTGGTTTATCTCTGTGTATTTAGATCACATTAACGTACTTTGGGAATAAAATTTATGGATTTGAATTCCCTGGTGTTGTTTTATGTTTAAGAAGGATTAATTTGTCAAAACAATACGATCGTGGTTATTTATGCCTCTTCTGTAAACTCTTCTATTACGTGACAAATCAGTAATTGAATCTTGTTTGTCAATTTATTAAAATCTAATTCTAGTTTTCATTTTTAATATATCACTTTAGCATTACTAAATGTTTCGTATGCAATTATTTAAAATATATTACATAAAATGAAATTAATGTCAGACAAAAAAACATAACTATTTAGTTCAGCTTGTGACTAGTCAGAAGATATAAGATAGATAGATAGATTAGATAGATTAGATAGATAGGTAGATAGGTAGATAGGTAGATAGGTAGAAAGGTAGAGAAGTAGAGAGAGGTAGAGAGGTAGAGAGAGGTAGAGAGAGGTAGAAAGGTAGAGAGAGGTAGAGAGGAGGTAGAGAGGTAGAGAGAGGTAGAGAGGTAGAGAGGTAGAGAGGTAGAGAGGTAGAGAGAGGTAGAGAGAGAGGGGGGAGAGAGAGAGAGAAAGAGGGAGGGAGAGAGAGAGAGAGAGAGAATATTTTATCTTTTACATCACATATAAAGACGTCTATTATGATTTTTGTTCCTCTTTTGTTTTTTTCTGTACTTTATTTATTAATTTTCTTTCAATATCTACAACTTTTTATATTATTTTTATATAATGTATAAATAATATTGTTTCTTTTCTTATTACAGGGTTAATAAAGTAAAAGATTGGATTGATTTATCTTTTAAAAGCACAACGTCTCGTAGGTTTTATCTCAAGGACAAATAAATATATGTATCTATTCCGTTTTTGTACACTTTAGAGATAAAGTTTTAGCTCATGGCTTATAAGTCGCGCGATCCATGCAGTCGCAGTTGCAGTCGCTCGAACAAGACACTAAAGGGTGGTGCATTAAAGGGAGTGAGAGCACTTTATTGGCGAAGTCTCCCAATTGACGTCTGGTGTCCCTATGCATGGGCGCTTGTACTCAACGCGCGCGAACCACAAATAAACCTGATATATGCGGAAATATGTGCCGCTACCGAGCACTCTCCGACTAATTTTAGACGACGAAATTGTGTCTCATACCAGCCTGGCCGGTCGAAGCTAATACGCCCCTTCTTTGCCACCTCTACGTAACTAATTGTAAGTAGATGCTCCGATTTTTTTTCCGATTATTGGAACATTTCCGAGGAACACTTACAGAGTGCATAATTAACTCGCTGCAATGAGACGGAATGAGAGCTGAAGCTTAGAGCGTACATGTTATGGGGTAGGTACGCGGGAGATATACACCAGGCGATAAGGTTGCAGAAAATTGCAGTTTCCTCGCGTAACCATTCTGCCGATATGAGAATACTCGACGAAAAAGATTATACATGTGATTCTGGCATATGATCTACAAAAATATCTTTAATTTATATTTTGCAAAAAGTCTCGCAGAATGCATCGAATAGTATAATGCTATCTGCGCTTCTTCACAGAGACTTTTCCACGGTGAACTTTCACGGTGAAATTTTCATGGTACATTATTTTTCTGATATAATTTCTTTATTGTATTTTTAACATAATAACAAGGCCATCAGAACTAGTTGCTTTTGTTTTATTTACTTGTTTTTATTATCTAAACAATAATTGATAAAAGAAGTGTTTATTCGATTAAATTAAAATAAATGTGTTTGGCAAATGTTTTTAGCAAGCGGTTTACTTGACTTACTTTTCATAAATGACCAAGCATGGAATTCGAAGTAGCGAGGCTACAAACAGTCGACTAAAATAGATTAGATATTTGTCCCAAGAGTAATATTTGTCTTTGTGTGCCGTATAGATTTATATATATAAATCATATGCATATATACATACGTATACGCACAGGAATGTCGTAAACGTATCGAGTGATAGAGCGAGCACTCCCTCGCACTTCGGCGTTCTATTGCGTCTGTCTGAAAATAACTGAACTAGTTATTCTCCAAATAAATAATTGCGCCATAAATTATTCGTCCGTTAAATACGCGGTTTTCTATGTTTTCTATATAACTGCGCACATCTTAATTATTGCTTCGATCGAATAAATGTCCTTGTATGATTCGTTACCCTCTCGCCACAATTTCGATAAATTCTAAGCTCTTGCTGTATAACTAGAATAATTCATTTGTTCATAATTCAATATTTTAATTATATTCCTGTATCGAAAATTGAGAATCATACAAATAATATCTTTGCAAAGAAGAAATATAATTCCATAAAATAATGACATTATTATACATTTTATTTGGACAAAGCAAAAAGAAAACGTAGCGTTAGTTTACATTACATGTGCAAATAAATTCCGACAGTTTGCATGGCAAGACAAAATAAGAAAATAAATAAATAATTCATAAAGAGAGACGCGAAAAAGTTGCTTCTACCGTTACTTTCTTTGTCTGTCTAAGTTTGTCAAGAAACTTTTCTTATCTATCACGATAATCTTTGCACGGATTATTACTTGTTAACACTTTGAGTGTTATGTCACCCATGTCGACGCGTAAATTTCCGCAAAGATTCCCCGTCATGCATTTGTAAGTGACAGTCTTATTTATCCGCGATTAAGAATAATTTTACTAATTTTAAGACATTAAAGAAATAACATAAATTTTATTATAACATTTAAAAAAGTAATAAAATATTAATATAATATATTAGATTTATTAACTTCAATGATGAAATCAGCTTGGTACTCAAAGTGTTAAGCAACAAATTTGCACTTTGTATATATATTCTACAAATATTATATCTCATATTATAAGTAATGTTAAGAATTTGAGCAATTTTATAATATATATAAAATGTATTTGCGTCAACTAAAAATTATTTGCAACTTGTGTATAACTTATAACTTGTCTTAACAATATAAATTAAAATTTATCAATTAATAGAAAAATTATAACAAGTCACGGCCGATTTGTTTATTAAAGTAAATAAAAAGTAAATAATCCTTACAGATAATTAACTGATTAAACTTAGTATTAGCAAGAGTCACATAAAAGATCGAATTACTCTAAAATTTTTGATGCTCTACTTAATTTCTTTTGTGGGTACGTCCATAAAAGAAATATTTAGATTCTCATTGAGGCGATTGGATAAGCTCGTTGACCGGGCACAACGTTTCGTTGAACCCAGGCGTTTGTTCCAATGACCTAATGACCGCAATACTTTGTCTCTACGATATTATCTTATAAATAAATTGCACAGATATCGAATGATATCTATGGAATTTGTAGCTCGTTCGTTCGCGAAGACCTTTAATTGAAAGAGATAAATATGGTCGGCGATATGAATAACGCCACCATTTATTCTCGATCTTTCATCGTTTTTCAACGCGATAAAAATACAATTAAGTCTGTAGCCCGCGGGTGCAGGCGGCACAAATAATAGAAATTGGCGCTTTATACTTACCTTTTTCCTTCTCATCTTTCCCTTTATTGTCAAAGAAGCCCGTTGTAAGAGCCTTCCTTTTTATCAAATACGCTCGTCTCTTTGGCTTCGTGGTCACTGACCCAGCGCTGAGCGATTCTGAAAGGAAACAGAGAGAACGACCTCACAAATTTCGTATTCCGAGACACATTTCGTTTACATTTTAATACAATTCACTACTTATGCAATCTATTTGTAAAATCAGAGCATTGTCTACTTTTGTCTTGGCGGAATAATTAATAAGAAGCAGCTATTTTAAAAGAAATCTTTGCTAAAAGTCAATTATAGCTCAAAGCTGCATTAATAAATATCGAATAAGAAAGAACAAGAGGAAGTTTCACAATAATATAATTAAATAATGTGAATTATTTCTATGTTTTTATATAATTATATAACCTTTTTTATATAGCCTTTTATATAACCATATGATTAATATAATATCCGCGTAATTAAAAGCAGAAGTTCCGAAATTCAGTTTTACAAAAATTGGTACAAAAATTTTAGCTGGCGGCATAATATATACGCAGTATAGGAACACACACACATACACACACATTTTATGAAACCCGTGAATTTTGCTTCTTGTTTTTGACATAATACAATAGCATTCACATTATGATTAATTACGTTTCTAATTTAATGTAATTAGCTATAAAAATTTAAATAAATAGCAATAAATAGCATATTAATTTTTTTTTTTTTTTTTTAGAAAGATTATTACAGAGGCTAGATATGTGTTTGATGAAAAGTATAACGAATAAAGTCAAAGTTGGGTTCAATCTAAAAATGATTTATTGCGGTGAAAGTTCTTTCCAATCTCTAATACTCGTATTTCTATTATATGCAGTTATAGTCGTTCTATTTTATAATACAATGACAAAGCTTTAATTGCATTCAGGTTCTCTCGTTCGCTTTTATCACAAATAGGTTCACGAAAGAGGAGACACCATTCAAGAGGAGGAAATTCAAGTGATTACTTCACTGTGAGCGAACACTCGCGGTCATAAACACGTCAATCATCTGGAGTTGAAACGAGACAGCCGAATGATGCTTTCGCGATAGATTTCGAAGTAATGTCTCACAATTAGATACACATACGAAGATATTATAGATTACGAGATTACGAGATTCCCCCCCCCCCACTCTTATTATTACTCGAATCCTTGTAAGAAGGTGGTCGATCGATCAAAAATTAAATTTTTTAAAGAAATAAAAGTTGTTTTATGTGCACATAATATCGAACCATGTCCTATTCAAATGTAACGTGAAATTGATCAATCTTGAGTTATCTGATTAAAAAGGAAGGTAAATAAAAAATATTTTTTATATTTTCCATATTTCTATTACATATCATTCCTTTAAATTAAGTGTAAATTAAGATTAATCTAATCATCTAATAAAGAAATTTATTTAGATATATAATAATTTTTGAAATTTTGGCACACAAGAAAAGTTGACTCGAGCATAAAAATATAAGAAAATATAACAGCTAAAAAAATTGACGTTAAGGTTGTTCGATGGCTACAACAAAATGCAGAGAATTTCATGAAATTTTAATATGTTGTTCTGCAATGCAAAATAGAATTATGTGAATTTTTTGGGAATTTTTCACCGTCCCGTTTTGAAAAAAATCTACTCCAAAAACCTAAAAAGTACAATTTTAGGAGTAGATTTATTTCAAAACGAGACGGTGAAAAATTCCCAAAAAATTCACATAATTCTATTTTGCATTCCAGAACAACATATTAAAATTGCATGAAACTGGCTGCATTTTTAACATAGGTTCTTATGGTTTTTATGGGAAATGACATATTGCATATACCTTATTCAGAATGAAATAAGTGCAAGAAAAAATGCAAATGATAAAGAAAAAGAAATTTGCACATGTAACTTAATAATTTACAAATAAATGAGCGAAAGAAAGGGGAAGGTTACCGCACATTTCGTAGAAAAATTAATTATTAAAGCATAAATTGCTTGATTTTTCGTCTGCATAGACTGTCATGGTCGTGAACGACGTGAACAGCAGCACGCATTATACACGCGGCGACCAATCAGAGCAATCCCCTTCATTCCCACTACTTCAAACGCTAGTGCGCTGTTTCCAGAACCCCCGCGTCCCACTACTCCCTCCGATGAAGCCATCGAACCTCCTTAAAATTACGTTGAAAGGAAATAAAAGAAGCTTCACGTCACGGACTTACATCGTATACTGCGGCAGCGTTGACGAGAAAGCATAAGGATTCGATTCTATAGGGCATACAAAAGCATCCAAGAAATTCATGACTCTCATCGCTGTTTGTTAAATAAAAGCCAGCGGGCGCCGCGCCGCCGCGCGCTTAAATACGCCAGGAATTTCGTTGGACGTAGTTTCCTCTTTTCTTTCGCCTTCATTCCGAAGCAACTATATTAACTATATTCTACGGACTAACGCAACATGGCACGCAGATGGCCTTAATGGAATTGCATGTGCTGAAGAAATTCTTTCCGAGGATTTCAAGGAACGGAGCGCGGATGTAGATGTAGAGCGTTCAAGAAGATTGTACGAAGTGGATATCATTCGAGAATGGAGGCAATTAAAAAATATACATGAATTGTGCAAATGATATTGTCTTTTTTTGTTCTTTTGTAAAAAAAAAACTTTGTACGTAGCTTATTGAAATTCCTATTAAGCTCTTTTGATTGACTACTTACCGCTCGGTGGTCTAATATGTACACCCAGATTGAGAGCTTGAAGTTTCGCTACGGCTACCTTGCAGAGGACTTTCCTCTCAATATCGGACAGTGTTCGCAACGATGTATCCTGTAGAGTTACACGCCGATTCCCTGTGCCTGCCCATGTACACTTTCCCTGCGATAGAAAAGAAATGATGCATTCTCTAGTGAATTTAATATAAGGCTGGCTATCGTGAATTATATACTTGACGGATCTTGAATGAATTTTTAGCATGTCATCGCGACGAGAGAGACAGTATATAGCGTATAAACTGAGCACAGTATTAAGCGCAAAATATCTTGTCAAGCGACAGAATTTCTGAACAAAATTTAATTCCGGCATCTTGGCGCTCCTCGTTATCATGCAACGATTATTCAAATTAATCTTATCATGTAAAACCGCGAAATTAAAATTTATAAACTCGCCACCGAGATGGATCCGTAGCTCCTAAGTTCCGCAAATTATCTTCAGCGTTATCGATTCGTTTGACAGCGGTTTCATAACTTGGACGAACTTAAAACGTATTAGAATCGCGATATATTCTTGTTTATTAATAGTTAATATAATTATGTCTATACACACGTGTGTGTGTGTGTGTGTGTCTCATAACATTTTTAGAATAGACCAGCGGTAATCCTCATGCACTCCACAGATAAAGAGATAAGGGAAAGGTACCAATACCCGAACACTTAAGCATAGGAAATGTGCCTGAACACGTATCTGTGTTTAGATACTTTTAAAAAAATATAAATTTATGAAAATAAACGTTTGGATATTATAACTGAAGTTTCAAACTACAAGAAAAAACTTTTATCTTTTATACTTTTATCTTTAATTTTAATTCGCGTTATACTTATAAATAATAAAGGTGTTCGGATATAGGTACCTTTCCCTTATGCAGGTAATGTTCAGGAAACGCAAAATATAACGAGGAAATGCAACATAACGGATCATAATTCCTAACATTTTCGTTCTGCTTCATGGATAAGATCGAGTTAATCTTGCAAGAGACGAAATTGTCTGAATATTTCGCTCGTGTTTTCAAGATAGCAGAATCGAGCCAAGTTTAAATTACATCGAATGACGTAATGAATTGAAATGTTTAACAGGAAATAATTATATCTGCTTTTAATTGACATAACAATGACACATACAATAAATATTTTATATTCCAATTTCAGTACACTATACGTAGAGGGAAATGAAATATACATGTTTTTATTTATTAATTATATTTATGAACCATATGACATGTACGCGTACGCGTATTTACGTGTGTGTGTGTCGACAAAAATTGCAGAGGAACGACTTCCATCGGTTCATCAGTTACTTTCGCTATTTGTAAACTTATCAATCGCGAACTACTAAAAATAAGGCGAGCTCAGATTATGTTGCTGGATCAGTTTTTGACAGTTAATAGAAAAGAAAATAGCATTTGTTTAACGTTCTTTGCTCCCTTTTGCGATTTACAGCAAATATATTTTTGTATGTCCTCTGTAACCATACATTCTTATGATATCTCGTGGCATCGAAGAGATCTAAAGAAAAGAAAAAAAGTACGAGTAATGGTTATTATTATTCACCAACAATTCTTTTGTTAGTGTATTTGTAAGAATGGTACAGTAGGAATGCAACATGTATCATGTTATATGCATTCATATGTATATTTGCAGTATACCGCGAGCTATGAAAAGAAGAAATAAATATGTGCGGCAAACTGAAAACAACTTGGAGAGAAAAATTCAAGAAAATTGTTTAGTTAAGTTTTTTAGTGTTATAATTTATTCGCAATCTTATTAACACGGAAGTTTAATAAATACAAAATCCATTATTTTGAATCTATTTCTATAGACAAGCATAAGTTTAAATCAAATGTTTGATTGTGTGTAATATTATAATTATTAATACGTTGCAATAAATATAATTTAATGCAATATTGATATATGTGTATTATATATAACAATTTTGCAGTATGAAAGATATAGTTTAGTTTTATATTTCAAATAATCTATATCATGATCTATCAATTCCATTTTTGTTTATAACTATTCTGTTGTGAGTAGAGGAGACATAATCTTTATCTGTAATAATTTTGCAATCACGTTCTCTTAAAAAATACATATTAAACCAAAATAAAACCAATAAAATAAGCGAACAACTCTGATAAATAATGCTGAATTATCAGCGAAAAGAACGCGAGTATGAGAAAATGTAAAGAAAATGAAATAAATTGCATATCTGTATTATATGTGATGTTGGTAGTTTATCACATGAAATAATAGACGCCATCACACATTATGTTATCTCGTTGCAATGTGACAAATGAAACTACGAGAGACGGGAGTATAGAACGTAAGTAATGACATTTTGTAAGATATGGCGTGGCGCCATGCATGGTGCGATGAAATAATATTGCGGCAATGAAAGTCAGTGATACGCTTACACGTTTCATCGAATTTCAAACATTTTCCACCTGTTAAGTTGCTATTTATTTCGCTGACGTTATCACAGTCGAACGAAAAATGGAAATAGCCGAGACGTGTTTTACCACGATTAACACGTTACTAAGAACAGACATGTTAATACGATTTGACAATATAATACCTACAAGCTTCTCTACAGTATATTAGATAAATATTGGTGGAAAATTAAAATGTATGTTTCATTATATAGTATAAAACTCGATTTAACACGATACCCTCATATATCTTTATAGAGATTTTAGATTATAAATTTTAATTTTCTTCTGAAATTTTCTGTAAATATATTACTTTGCTATCGCTGGTATACGATTAGAATTTGCTGTTATTATTCAGAATAATTTGCTTATTTTCAACGTATTCGATAGCCTTTATGCGCGCGCACGGAAATTAACAGATTAATACAAAATGGAGAAGATTAGAAAGGTTCGTGACGCGCTTGTTAATCATCCAAAGAGAATTGCTAGTTGCCTTTTGCACATTCCGAAGGCTTGTCGACGCCTACAAAAGACCTTGCATGGAACACACGGAGTTTAAATGAAGAAGATATCTCTGGAGAAAATTCGCGAGAAAAGATCTAGCGAAATCACATAAAGATGAAAAAGGGATACATATATGAGCAAATCATCTTCTATGCAAATGCAAATGGCCTCATCTTGAACAATATCAATTTTCTACTGTCGCGTCCGCGTCATTGTCGTTCCTTGTTCGATCAAAATATTTTTCCCTTTTCTTTTATTTTTTGTTTATTCAGCCACAAAAAGCATTGAACAATATCTATTTAACAAAAATTTTTTCCTTATGATATTATATTATTTTATTAATATGATTACTTATGCAAAATTACAGCGACAAGTGAATTTCGCGTAAAGAGCAATATTTCGTGTTCACAACTTAAATAATTTTTGTTAGCAAACTTTTCAAAATACAAACAGTTTTTGAGTTGTAGACAATCAAAGAAATGGGAATTTTAGCAAATTATGTATCATATATCAGACATGCAAGTAATAAGATCGAATTTTTTAACTAATTTGCATTAGACTCTACTTTAACAAAGAACATGACACAGGGATAGTTACTATTAAAATTTGTAAATTTACAGTATCGTAGAGAATTTGAACAAAGTATAATTTTCAATTAAATTTTCAATAAGTAGATACATAATATCATGTTTAAGCCAGAGAAATTGTTTATTCAAATATGTCTACTATCAATGACATCTCTTATAAGATGTAAAAATAATACCCATTAATAGCTAAATATTTCCCAATTTTATGGATATACATATAATATATATCTCTCCATAAATCCATATATATCTGAAAATATTTAACTATTGATTATGTCAAACATTCCATAATTTTTCCTCTTTAAGTAGAAATTAATTCTGATTATAAATACTGACACATTAAACAGTGTACTTCAGTGGCCTAAGTAAATTCAATTTTCCATGTTACGAGAGACGATTTCTTTTTCCTTTGCGATTCCGTGATGTATTATTCGTTGTGTGGAATAACGGAGAAACGCCACATGAGAATAGCATGGAGATCGTGCCGGTGGTAATAGACTTTGATTTTAGTGTGTGGGTATATATCCGAGTAAAGTAGTAGTAGCAGCAGCAGGATTTAAGTATAGTTTATACACATCGCTGTGCGCGCGCGCACGCGTTGGCTGACTATTTCTGGCGGCGCCAGCGAAATTCCGAGGCCCTAAATTGGTTATCGCGCTTACCGCTTAACGAGAATGTCTGCCACAAGGTCGACTCCCTTTTTTTCTTCTTTCACATTTTCTCTTTATACGAAAAAAAAAGAATCGCATGATTATCGAATACAGTACATACCTATATAGATACATACCGATACACAGCTCTCTCTCGCCATGGAAAAAAAACATTCTATAAACTATAAACTTTGAAAAAAGTTTAATTTAAATTATAATTTAAAAATAAAGTTAAATATAAATGTGAAAAAATTGCCCTTAATAAAATTTATATCAAGACATTTATCATCATTATTTAAATTATAAATGATAGTTTAAATTGGAGACCCGCTAAGGGCAAATACGGGGAAGAATATAAATATGTATATTAGGAATTTTCTTTCTTTCATATTAGAGACACATGTGAATAATGGCATGTTATTTTAAACGGATTGTTTCCAAACATATTTTTACAAAATTGAAGATTATAATATAACGTATATCTTGCGAACAAATGGAAAGAGAAGGAGGGAGGGAGAGAGGCATGCTCGCAGTATTATTCTTTATCACGTTTATAAAAAATATTTACATTGTAATAACTATAAATAATTTTTCATACTGGAATTAATTTGCAAGAAAAAGACTTCCTCTAAAAATAGCGTAGGCACCAATTGCCAATTTTGACAAATATCCTTATAATTCAGAATCTTATTCGTGCTCTCTCTTTCAAAAGATATTCCTGCTTCAAATACATAGCATGGATACCACCGCCAAAAGTTGCCATTACGAAAATGCAGGTCTATGCCAAATTCATGATATCTACTGTTCCTTTTTATTAAGCTTTTTGCTAATCTCGCGGAGACGCCAAAGAATGCGCTCGCTATAGTTCATTGGAAAGTCTACGAGATATATTGAATATAATTTCCAGAAGACGCAATTCATTTCTGCTCTCAGCTGTCGCATCTTATCACAAATGGTGAAGAAAATTCTACACATAACTCTACGCTATAAATGTAACTACCGCTATATTCAGTAAAATCAGAATTACACGAAGGAGAATGTATATGTATATTTTCGATTTTAACGATTTCATGAAAACAAACTATTTCATTAATTAAATATTTATTTTAGTTGAAATAGTTTTCGACAGCACACACGCGCGCGCGTATTGTGCGACTTTCTGCCAGACTTTTTCCAGTTCTGCTTACACTCAACAAATATGAAAAACTGGGTGTCTTTATTATTCTGGAGGAAGTTGAAAAATTGAAATCAGTCCAAAATATCATATTTCGTTATCAGAATTATACGTAAAGAGACCGTTCTCATGAAAATACCAAATTTCATACTTTAACGTTAAAGTCTTTTAGAATATAAACACGAGCAGTTGTTAAGGTTTCATTAATGAAAGAGTTGAAAATGTAATTAGTTATTGCAAATTAAATTGCACCTCTCAAGAATTTCGAAGTCTGTTTATAATAGAAATATAAGATATAATGAAGATATAAAGAAAGATAAAAAAGATTGTGGTCTAAAACTCCTTGACACCGTGCACGCGTTCTTTGCTGATTACACCAAAGGCATGCTAAAGTAATCAACAATTATGTATATACAAGTGGAAGAAGACTCACCTGAGGAGTCCACGCCGACGGCTGATGCGACGCCCTCGATGTGCTCTTGCTCCTGGACCGCCAAATCTTCTTTGCCACCAGCCGGCTGCCGTGATGCACCACGCTACTCGAGGACTTGCTCTTCTGCATCGCTGTGCCACCTGCGGAATTGGCGGACGATGACGTGAGTGCCGGCGAACCGGGTGCCGAGTGCGGCTTATCCTTATGCGAGTTGGAACCGTGCAAGAGATGGGATAGGAAGTGATGGTGATGGGGATGTTTTACGGGGGTGAAAGAGGCCTCTTCGGAACCGAGACCGGCATCGATGCTGCTTCGGGAACTGGCGTTTCTGCTGACTGGCGGAGACGTCGTCGTATCAGCATCCGATAAATTCTCGGACGGGACCTCTCCGGCTAAGGCTCCGGGACCGGAAGAGGACATCTCACGATAATGTATCATCCAATTGTCCTCCGTCTGGCAGCCCTTGTTATTGCCGTCGTCGTCGCCAGGCTTGGTAATCTCACCCTTGGCTTTGATATTACGTAAATTCCGATCATAATTGACCCGCTTAAATCGATCGATTTTGTCCGCGTCCACGGACTTCTTCCGCGCCATCCGCAGATACCTCTTGATGGTGTCACCCACGGACGGTGATACGTCGTCGTTGTCGACGCTACTGCGTCTTCGTCCGCTGGACTTGGGTGACATCTGCTCCTTTTGCGACAACTCTTCCCTTTCCTTCTCCAATAGACAGGTGTCGAGGACATCTTGAGAAATCGGCTCGGTTTGCACGCCATTATCGAGAAAGTTTCGATCGGTGCTAGGTTCTTGAACAGCGATTAGAGGCGGTGGTGAGATCGGGTCCCTTCTGGGTGATCGATTACTAGATTCTTTGATAGACGTCCCACTAGTCTCGTGAGCCCACCATCGAGCGGATGGCGAGCTGTACGCCCCGGTTGCTCGAGGTCCCCTGAAACCTCTGGTGCATCTCAGATCGAAATAGAGCTTTTCGAGGAGTTTTCGATCTGTCAATATATCAGATATAACGTGCTCCCGAGAAGATAATTTGCCGTAATAACGACTCAGCGTCTCCATTAGCGACTTATGAACATAATCACCCTGATATGGCAACATGGATGCCGGAACCACGGCATCTTTCCCCCTGCAAGTGCCCTGACTAGGAGAGACCTGCTCACGTTTAGCTTGAGCAACAATCGTATTTAGATGCTGTTGCAGCTTATCTATCAGGCTACGATAGTCAAAGGGCTCTTTCCCTTCCGTCCGTTGGGCTGCCCCGTGCGACTCGACGACCATCCTCGTCGGACTGGCCGCGTCACCCTGCATGTTCAGGTACTTTTGTAGCATGTCGGCCAGCTCCTTGGCCTCGGTGTCCTCCTGAGGTGTTTTGCGACGCGTTATCGGACTGGATGGCGCGCTACCGTCGTCGCCATCACCGTCGCCACCAAAGTCAGCGCCACCGCCACCGCCCTCACCACCGCCGTCGTTGCTCCCGCCTGACGTCAGCAACCACTCTCTCTTCGCCTTCGCCAGATCAAATTTGCCAGACGTGGTCGCGCAAAGGACGAAGCTCTGCGGCGAGCTCCTAACGTCATCGGCCTCGTCGGCCGAGCTAGCCTGGGTTCGGCAGCTGCCGCCTTTGATCTGTCTGCGGCGTCGTTGAGCGCGAAAGCCCAGACTGCCGGGATACGAGGCCTTCCTCCAGAGCAGAAAGCGCGGTTCTTTCTGACATACCTCTTGAAAGTATTGCTCGATCTTCGGTATGTCCTCTGGGCGATTGTGGGTACCGTCGGGGATGAGACGTCGGCCGGCATCGGCCATGTATCGCCACGTCTTTCTGGTGAGCAGCCATCGCTCCTTGACGGGCTTGCCGGACCGTTTAGTTCGACGGTCTTTGGACGTAGGCGGTGTCCCGCGTATCGAACTCGCGGCGTCCGCACTGTCATGACGCGAGCGTCTCCTGCCTCCACCGGGACGCTCTGCCATCGTCGCGTCCTTGTCCCGTCTCGCCACGCGAACCACCTTCGCGGAATTGTGTCTCTCCGGTGTATCGTCCACGATAGGGACGGTCCGCGTCCACCACGGCCGTCCACCACCCCGTCGTCCAACCACTCGGTCACTCTACCATGCCAGCCGGCATAGGCGCGTATATATTTCTTTTTCTACTCACTCGCGACGATCAGCGATCTTTACCATCATCTCACCTTTCACTGCAGGACACATTCGAGCGAAACAAATACGTTTCGCACAAGGCAGACGTACGTCATTTTACTTAAACACTTTATTACCGAGGTAAAACTTTATCTATCGAAACGAGAATCGATCCGAGGGATGGCGACGATGATAATTCCACTGCTGGGCAAGCGACGACTGGACTCACTAGACGATCGAATGCCAAACGCGGCTGGCTTCGACGAGGGAAATTCGGGTTAAAGAGAAGCAGCCGCTTATACCTATTACGCGACGTATGATCCAAATAGCGGCTAGCTAAAAAGCTCCGCGCCGACTCGAATAATACTCGAATAAATCTCGTTTAGTAAGATCAGTGGAAATTGAAGAGATACTGCAAACGAAAATTTCTTCTCACTGTCGTGCGCAGCCTACGAAACTCCAGATATCTCCAGATAGCGAGGTCATTGCGAGAGGTAAAACAACAGGGTAAAACAATATGACGTTCGTAGATAGACGTCGAAATCGAACGCAAACGTTACAAGTTGCCCGTGTGAGCCGGCAAGGTGGAAGCTAAGATACGCGACTACTGCTCCTCAAGGCATCGCGACGCTCGTGGACGCTCCGTGTCTAAAAGCGTCTTTGCCCCTCTTCTCTCCCTTTCCACCTTGCTCGCGTGCGGAAACGCGAGCGAACAAGCGGCGAGTGTAAGAGAGTATATGGATGACGCTGCAGAGACGACAGCGATGGACCAGACCGAGGAAGAGGTATAGAGGTATAGAGATATAGAGACTGCCGTGGCCTCTAGGATACCTGGACCTGTCCGCAGACTAACCGGAGGTGCAACGTCGACGACGCCGCGACGGTACGCCCGCGCCGTCACTCTTTGCCTTTGCCAAACGACACGATAAAGCTTTCTGGCGGCGTACCATCCACGGTCACTCTGGCGTTCCTCGATGAAACAATGCCGGTTTTCACGAGTTTGTGGCGACGTGGACGGCATATCGTATCGCACCTCGTCGTTATAACATATATCGAATAAGAATGATAATGGCACGTCGAACCGCAGAAGGCGTCAATATTTATAAATCAAAACAGTGATAACCGCGACAAATAGATGTCGTTCATTATATGAATCTTGCAAGGTTAAAAGAGAAGATAAGAAGAGATCGGGATACCTTTTACGTGTGCATACACACACACAAAATTAATTCTTTATAAATCTGCTTTCTCTCTCAAATATAAAAAATTAGACTACCCACTTAATCGAGAAACATATTGAACAAACTTTAATAATATTTACAAAACGTAAGATTAGAATAAAATGTTTATATTATAGCGCGACGTAGACGAATAAATAAGGTCCAAGAAATAAGGTCCACAACAAGATCTATGGTTAACTAATGAGATAAGATGAGGCTCACCACGTCGAACCTTTTATATGATATTTCACACATATTGTTACGAATACGGATTATCCACTAAATGGATTATCACGTAACAAAAGATCGTATATGGACATGGATTAGCCTTTGTTTCCAAAATATATACCTGCATTTGCTCACCTCATATATAAACGAATTGTGCAATGTGTAATCAATTTATAAACAGATATCATTATTTCCAGAAATTCCAGGATTATCTTATTAAATTCTTATTAAACTCATTGAGCAAAATTTGCCTAATGAGAAAGTTACAATAGAGGTATAGTATTTAAAGCTCGATACAGGTTAGAGAGAATATAGAATTATGTACATAACATTTTTATCAAAAATATGAAATTTTTGTTGTATCTATAGTAATGAGGTAGAGGTAGAACGATGAAGATCACAATGAGGTATTGCCCGATATTTTCGAGAATATATTTTTGCGTCTGTGACTATTTCTCGGGAGAACTTTTACGATGCGAATCGGACCACTACACCACGTGCTACTGATATCGTGCAGCGATCGTAAATCAAAGGTTAAATTAATTGAAACCTGTCGGCGATTGAACTCTTAATTGTCCTTTCTTTTTCCTTTATCGAAAATCTGATATTTGATTTATCGTATGTATTTATCCCTGCTGCCAATACAAGTAATGCTGATATAAAAAATTATAAAATAAGTATCGTCCTGTAATGTGTGGCATAAGCCTCCTTCGAATGTCACTTTCTGTTAATGATGTTTTTAATATAATAATAAATGTAATATAATATAATATCTATACATATAAGTATGTCAAACTAAATACGTTTAAAAAGAGATTCGCAAAACTTTCCCGTCTCCTTTGAAAGATAACAATACCTATATTAAAAAACAATATATAAGATAGCTAGAGTGATTCCCAAGTTCCCAGTTCCTTTGCTGTATCTATCAGAATTTCACTATAACGGACACGATAACAAGTTTCAACGCATTCGAACGAGTTCAGATAAGATCCGCCTGGCAGACACTTCGGCGTCTCGACGAGTGATGCGAACGCAAATTCTAAAGATAGAACGACGTGTGTCGTTCCTCCACCTCGTTTCCTCTTTCGCCGATTTGTCACCGTTTTTCTGAACAATTTTGCTTGCTTTTTCCTCATTTCGGAAACATTCAGTTTGGCTTTTATCTTTATATTTATGACGTTTTTTTTTTCAGGTCAATCCCGAAATTCGAGATGTAAAACATCTTCGAAAATACGATATACGTATTATATACCTATATATATATATAATATAGAAATATACATTTCGTGTGTAAAAAAAGTACATATATGTATATAGACGTGTTTAAGTACAAAAATAATTTTTTTCAATTCTTTTTATAGTGCGCTTTAAATGAACAATCTGATTTGAAATCTCGTAGAAAGAAACTTTAAGAAACATTTAGAATTTTAGAGTACAGTCTGCTCTTGATGCTTTACATTTGCTACACATTACCGGTACGATAGTTAAGTAAACAATGGCTATGTTTTTATCGATTGCAGAAAGCAGGTGGTGGGGTCGTCGGTAATGATAAACAATAAACTGCTAAATAATATATGATTATAGACAAAATATCCTCAACACAGTATTGAACCATATAATCCTTTCTTGCGTCTATGAGGTGGTAAAAGTATAAAGTGTATACAAGTTAAAAATTAAATATAAATAACACAACCATTTGCAGTCCGAAAATTATTGATACTCAGAAATATGAGACAATGTAATGACTCGATGAAAATATGTAATTTGACCTAATTAAAATAGGGGAGACTACGGCTAGTTGGTACACTTTTTTTAAGATTTTTTTACACGTAACTAATAAATGGAATACAAGCCGCAAAAAAATGTTTGAAGATAGAACTTATTTTAAGCCCGACGTTGGCTTGACATTTTATATCTTCGAGGATATCAGAATCAGAATCGTCCTTCGATAATCTCAAAAGCAAAGAGTTCCTTGAGATCTAGTGATCGACTTGGTGGATTACATTCCAGTGCCTGGAACTTGATTTCGGAAGATTGCCCGCAGATGGAACATTATCCGAAATATGTTATGTTGCGGTTGCAGGTTTATAGCCAACGCGGAAATCGAAACCTTATAACTATCTCGAGGAATCGATAATGTTCAACGTGGACACATTCATCCATTAATAAATAAAATTGTGCAATATACATATAGATGATTTGTAATATGATTTTTTAATGAAGATGAATAAACAAAATTGATAAATTGAAGATTAGCTTTCAAAACAATACAAGTAATTTATTGAGCGATTTGTTTTATGGAACATTTAAAGATTTTGAATTTCTCTTGCAGTTTTTAAACGAGAAACATTATGTTATGCATTTATATAAATGCAGAATTAGATTTTAAGAGATAAAGTCCTGAGAAGAAAGTGATAAAAATAAGATTATTACAATAAACTAAAATATTATTTTGTATTTTCTACTTTCTCTCTCTTTTACTAGATAAATTACTCTATTAATTATATACCTAAGTAAAGAATAAAATGACAGTCCGAATATTCGGTGAATTGACTAGATATAGCTACGACATTACGGTGAAAATCCATTGGATGTGTTTGAACAAATCATCGACAAGATGTAAAACGAATCAGACGTATGTATCGTATGGATTTTCGGAAAGCTTTGGTCCTCAAATTGTGTTCGACATGCGTCAATACGAATCGCCAAGATGAATCTAAATCCCCACGATCGCGATAAACGGAATTAAATGTCGCCCTAGTGACAATCGCAATCGATCTACGTAATCGCCGATAATGGATTTTGCACGAGTAAATACATTGTATGAGCTTTAATCACAAATGGATGACGTCAACGTTAATACTCTCTTGATAAAGATAGTAGTTGCATCGACTAGAATTTCGATAATACATCGAGAATCATATAACATTCACATTTCACATTTCTCAGATCTATTTCTAATAGAACGTGGCATTTATTATATTACACAAAATAATTCCAACGCGCGCGCAATGTTTTACACGATTATCCAAATATGTTGATTTTCTCAAGATCCGTACATTATGTTATGAGAATTTAAATGCATCAGAAAAAATTTGAAAGAAATAGTTAAATTAAACTACATTAATTGTTTAAATTTCTAACAAACATCCTCACGAGAGAGAGAGAGAAAGAGAGGGGGGGGGGGGGGGGGCGAGAAAGTCAAGTATGCTTAAAATAAACAATTTATCTAAAAATGATAAATTGTCGCCCTAAATATTCCAACTTTGTGTCACTTAAACATCTGTTAAATGATTAAACAATTATTATGAAATATTATGACAGCTGCCAATTAAAAAATTTGATGTAATGGTCTGCACTTCTAACGCCAAAACGTTGATAAAGTGTGTATATTCAATCTTAGAACGATAATATTTATAGTAGCAGAGTAAAAAGTAAACGGCGAGAATAAATAAAGATTCTGTCATTATTTAGTGCACGACTCGAAATCACGTATTATAATGCAGACTACACACACATATATAATTGTATAACATTTAGAAAAAAATACATAATACCTTAAACACAGCAAATTATAAAAATCTGTATTGTAATTCATATATTTGTATCATATACATTTGCATAAATACTGTTACCTATATTAATTAATTTATTTACCTATATTAGCCAACAAATCATGTAATAAGTAGTATTGTTTTTGCTCCATCAAAAAATCCAATTATTTAAATATATAGGGATATCAAACTACATAATTCACAATTGTTTGATAAAGGATTTACTCTAGGCGATTTAAATAAGATTAAAAAAGCTGCGAGATATTATTAGATGAAATTTATTGGGAATTTGATCACTCTCTAGTAAACGTGATAGTAATATTTTTGCTTTTATACAAATTTGGTATAAAATATAAACAATAAAAAATAATTATAAAATACAATATTAGGGCAAATAAAAGGAATAGATAATGTAATTATTATTATTCTGCAATTCATGTATTCATCGTATTATACATATATAATTATTGTTAAAAATTCTTATTATTACAATTAAATAACAGACATTTCAGCACTTGTTGAAATTTGTACTGTTCTTAATATAATAAACTAAATAAACAATTTCATAACTATATATACATTTTTTATG